GATTCTAAATCAGGGGATAATGGAACCTCAATTAGAGGGGAATTATCTCCTTAAGGTCAAGAGAGTGGGGCTAATTGTCAGGGAGCCTGTGGTAGTTCTGAGGTAGAAAAAGAAGAAGCAAGCTCTGCAGCACTTTTAACTATAGCTCCTCAGAAGGATATTTCTTCTCCCCACCCTCCTGATGACCAACTCATTGAGGTTGCCATTCGACCTGTGTCTGTTGGACAAAGAGTTGTTCAACAAAGAAGGAAAATTATCCCCAAGAAAAATAAAATTGTCTGTGCTAGTGTGCCAGAGGATATGGTTGTTGAGGCAACCACTAGTAATACTGTTTTACTGCATCCCACTAAGATAGCTTGCAAAAGAAATTTTAGTGATTGTTTGCAGTCTTCCCCTGATTCTAATTTGTGTGAAGATCAGAAGAAAAAATTGAAAATTTCTGTACCTAAGGATAACACCGTGGTGGAGGAGACCAGCCCAAATTGGTCCCAAAGTTCAAAATGAGAGTATGTGTGTGGAATTGTAGAGGTTTGGGAGGACCCTCTACAATTTCCCAATTGCGAGAAGCCCCAAGGGCTCACCTCCCTGATTTATTTTTCCTGTCTGAAGTTAAGAAAAAAGAAAAATTTGTTTCTGTTGTTTGTAAAAAGTTAAAATTGGAGGATAGGTGGATGTATTGTAAACCTGTGGGAACCAGGGGGGCTTTTGTTATGTTGGTCTAGTAAGGTCTCTATTATTGAGTTCTTTCAATATGATTTTTGTATTGGTGTTAAATTTTCTTGTGTGGGGTCTGATGTTGTTCAATGGGGGATTTTCCTGTACTCTAGCACTGACTCTGAAGTCAGAAGAGTGCAATGAAATGTTCTGGCTGCTTGTAAAGATCAATGGGGTGATCTGTGGTTTTTAGGGGGAGATTTCAATGCAGTTTTGTCTAACCAAGACAAACAGGGAGGTAGAATTAGAGAGCAAAGCAGTTTCACCCCATTCAGAGATTTTGTTAGCTATATGGGCATGAGTGAAACTAGGACTGTTGGTCACCATTTCACCTGGTGTAACCTTAGACAAGGGTCTGATCTGGTGGAGGCTAAGTTGGATAGGATTTTCTTCTCTCAATCTTGGCTAGCCATGTTGAATGATGCCATTGTTAAACACATTTCGGTTATCTCCTCTGACCACAGTATGTTGCTGTTGGAGAGTGATAGTACTCTGTCTTCTAAGCCTAAGAGATTTTTTTTTTATGCTAGATTGATTAAGTTAGAAGGCTTCTCTGAAATAGTGGAAAATGCCTGGAATCAACCTGTTAATGGTCCATTGCTTTTTAGTGTTCAAACTAGGATCAGAAATGTGAGAACAGCCCTTCTCAGTTGGAAAAAAACTCAGATCACTAATTCAGCTAAAGAGATTGATATATGTAAGTCTGCATTAAATATTTTGGAAATCCAGGGGAGGAGTAGAAACTGGGGAGAGTGGAATGAGTGGAAAGCTAACCTTCATCAAGCTTAGCTTGAAGAGGAAAAATACTGGAGAGATAAATCTAGAGTTCAATGGCTTAATGAAGGGGACAAAAACACCAAATACTTCCAAGCTTCAATCCAACAGAGAAGGAAAACTTGCAGCCTAGACAACCTAGTTAATGCCAGGGGTAGGAGATGTACCAATGATCAGGAAAGAGCTTCTGTGCTTGAATACTATTTTAATAATCTGTTCTGCTCTTCTCAGTCTTCAGTTAGTGAATGTGAATTGGATGGCATTCCTTCCCATATTACAGAGGAGATTAACTCAAAGCTGACTTGCAGAGTGACTGAAGAGAAAATATTTGAAGCACTCAAAGAAATGGAACCTTCAAAAGCTCCAGGTATAGATGGTATGACTACCTGTTTTTTTCAATCTTATTGGCCCATTGTTAAAACTCATTTATGTGCAGCCATTATTAATTTCTTTGAGTCTGGTAAAATGCATAAAGGTGTCAACCATACTGTCCTCACTTTGATCCCTAAAAAGAATAGTGTTGTGCTTGCTTCGGATTTCAGGCCTATAGCTCTGTGTACAGTCCTTTATAAGATAATTTCCAAAATCCTTGCTAATAGATTGAAACCTTTTTCGAGTCCTTGTATCAATGAATCCCAGGCTGCTTTTATCCCTGGGAGACAAATTCTAGATAATGCTGTTTGAGCTAATGAATGTATCCATCATATAAACAGCAAAAGAAAAGGGAAAAAGTGCCTGATGGCTGTGAAATTAGACATGGCCAAGGCCTATGATCATGTTGAATGACAGTTTTTGATTTCTGTTTGTAAAAAGATGGGCTTTTCTGATCTCTTTGTGTCTTGGATTTTGGCTTGCCTTTCTTCAGTTTCATACTCTTTTAACATCAATGGGCAAGTTCTTGGTTTGGTTAAGCCTTCTAGAGGCATTAGACAAGGAGATCCAATTTCTCCTTACCTGTTTATTATCTTATCTGAAGCCTTGTCTAATCTGATTCACAATGCTTGTCTGCTTTCTTTGTACTCTGGTATCAAAATCAATAAATTCTCCCCTGGTATCTCCCACTTATTATTTGCTGATGACACAATCTTTTTTTGTGATGCTGATGTTTTTCATGCTGATTTGATTCTGGATATTCTTCATAGATTTGGTTCTGCCTCTGGGCAAAGTGTGAACATGTCTAAATCTTCTGTTCTATTCTCTAAAAACACTTCTGACCAATCTAAAGCAAGAATCTGCTCTGTGTTGAATGGCATCCAAAGTGTCAGAAGCTCCACATATTTGGGCCTTCCCTTAGGGGTAGGCAGATCCAAGAGAGACACTTTCAGTTATGTTCTTGAGTGTGTTGTTGCTAGACTTACCTGTTGGAAAAATGCTTTTTTAAGCTCTGCAGGCAGGGAGGTTTTAATCAAATCTGTCATTGAAGCCCTCCCTACCTTTGTTATGTCTTGTTATAAGCATCCCATAAGCATTTGTAATGATATCTGTAGGGAAGTTGCTAAGTTCTGGTGGGGTAAAAATGATCAGGGTAGAGATAAAACTCATTGGATGTCTTGGGATGAGCTGGTAAAACCAAAAGAGAGTGGGGGGCTAGGATTTAGAAACCTGAAAATTTTCAATGATGCTCTTATTGCTAAACAGCTGTGGAGAATCCTTATTCACCCTAATTTGCTGATTAGTAGAGTGCTTAGAGGCAAATATTTTCATAAGTCTAGCCTTTTTGATGTTCAGCATAGAGGAGGTGACTCTTGGTTATGGAAAAGCTGGGTGGGTGTCCTTCAGTTCTTTAAATTGGGAGTTAGGTGCCTGGTAGGTGATGGGAAAACCATTTCCATATGGGAACATCCTTGGCTCCCTAGAAAGAATTCTCCTCAGCCTACTTGTAATTTCCCCTCAGACAGAAACAGATTAAAATGGGTTAGTGAGCTGGTTGTTGCTGGGAATGGGGAGTGGGATAGAGATCTTGTGAGACAAACTTTTCCTCCTGATGAAGCTAATATCATTTTGAAAATTCCTTTATCCCTGAGAGGTAAAAGAGATAAATACTGCTGGTTGTTTGGGAAGTTTGGCCAATTCAGTGTGAAGTCTGCATATATTGCTTTCTTGGATAGCTGGTTGAATTTCAAAGCAGGGGCTAGCTCTAGTTCTGGAGCTTGTTTTATGCAAAAGGTATGGAGGATAACTTGGAACCTGCCAATCAAGAATAAGATAAAACATTTTTTATGGAAGTGCTGGTTCAAGTGCCTCAGTACCAAAGATGTGCTGTTCAAGAAACTTTTGTCTGAAGATCCCATTTGCCCTATCTGTGGTCTTGTAAATGAAGATATTGAACACCTGTTTTTCAACTGAACAAGAGCTAAACTGATCTGGAAGCTGAGTGGGATCAACTGGAATGCCTTCAATGCAAATACTCAATCTTTCAGAGATTGGTGGAGTGACATCAGCAGTGCTCCTCAGCAAGGTATCATCATAGAAAGAATCAGCTTATCTTGCTACATTCTATGGTGGCTATGGAGGACAAGAAATGGATGAATATTTCAGAACAAAATGGTCGGTGAAAGGCAAGTAGCAGAAGGGGCTAGAGCTGAATGGATAGAGTACAATGCAATTCTGGAAAAAGAAATTTGTGTGGACAGCTCTGTAGCTAGACTCACAGGGATCCAAGAGGAGACATTTTCCCATAAGGTAGGACAGTGGCTTCTCACTGTCAGTGCCTTAAGCTCCTCAATGAATCAACTGGGAGTATCTTGTACAGCAGCTAAAGTAGATGAGGAAACTCAGTTATGGGAAACAACTTTGTGGTTTGATGGATGTGCTGAAGGGAAATGGCTGACAGCAATCAGGTGGGCCCTGATGAAGGCCCTTGATCAAGGATGGAACCATATTTGCTGCAAAATCCACCACAGAGGGATTGTCTCTAAACTCAGTAAAAGACAGCCTCATTTTGATCTTTGTTGTAATACTTTACCTGCTGATGTCCTTGATATTATGCTTTCTTTCTCTTCCATAGACTTGGTTGCAGATGTTTAGTTGCTTTTTTAGTTTTGTTTTTCTAGTTTTTCTTGGTTTGTTCTTCTGAAGGGGAGATTATAATCTCTTCTGTGCTTGTAAGCTTTCATTTGATTGCCCGGATGTACATTTTTTGAGTTTTGGTTATTTAAGTTCTATTATCGTTGGAAAAAAAAAATTATTAAAATATTAAAAAAAAAGTATCAAAATATTATTAAACAAGCTAACAGTAATATAGCCTGTGATATAACTTACTACTTGAAATTGTAATAAATTTAATAATAGCTGTACTATTTTCTACATTATAACCACCTAGTAATAAAGAGATAAAAACATTTTACTATTTTTAAACTACTCATTTATATATATAAATAAATTTTGGCCAGATGAATATACTTATAATTCCTCTGCATTGTGTTTAAAGAAATTTTGCAAGTTTTATGCTATTTGTGCTTTAAAGGGCAAAAATATTCCGACGGCGGCCTAAAACCCTCCGCCGCTGCGCAATGCTCAGCTCAAGAAATCTGTTGCTCCAATCCAATCTCAAAAGAAGAAAACAATCCCGGAAGAATCTTCTCAGGAACCCTAGCTCAGTTCCCAAAAAACCAAAATTCGTATCCAAGAATCAAGAACCCATCTCAGCAGCTCCGCCGGCGTTACCGCCGGAGGAAGAAGATCGAGAACTGATCGGCGGAGAAAGAGAAGATGGATATTTCAGCCTAAAGGGCTCAGCCCGATCCCACTCCCATGGCGTCCAGCCGCTGGGAAACCTCTATTTCAGCGCATCGTCGTTCAATTCCAGGAACGCGGGCCTCGGCAGCCTTCAGATCCTCACGGACGAGCTCGTCCTCGACATTCTCGGGCTCCTGAGCGGACCGGGCCTTGGGGTTTTATCGACTGTAAGCAAATCCTTTTATGTTTTCTGCAGCCATGAGCCCCTCTGGCGGAACCTTGTCTTGGGTTCTTGTGAAAATGGCTTCTTGTTCAATGGCACCTGGAAAAACACTTTCGTCGGTGCTCACAAAAGCTCGTTCGAAATCGTTAACTCTACAGTTAAAGTTAGGGACTTTTATTCTGATTACTTGTTTCAGAGCTGGCTCTGTGCGAATCTCGAAATGAAGCCCGAATGGCTCGAGAGAGATAACATAGTTAGGAAAAGGGGAATGTCTGTTGATGAGTTTGTGCTGAAATTCGAGGAGCCGAATAAGCCCGTTTTGTTAGAGGGCTGTTTGGAAAATTGGACTGCTATGAGTAAATGGGATAGGGATTATTTGGTTAAAATATGCGGTGATGCTAAGTTCTCAGTTGGGCCGGTGCAAATGAAGCTCGAGGACTACTTTAGGTATTCGGATCAAGTGAGGGAAGAAAGGCCATTGTACCTTTTCGACCCGAAATTTTCCGAAAAGGTTCCGAAGTTGGGTTCGGATTATGAAGTCCCCGAATACTTCAAGGAGGATCTTTTTAGTGTTTTAGGAGACGAGAGGCCGGATTATAGGTGGATTATAATCGGGCCTGCAGGGTCAGGATCGTCATTTCACATCGACCCTAACTCGACCTCTGCTTGGAATGCGGTGATTAGGGGTTCGAAGAAATGGATACTCTTTCCTCCTGAGGTGGTCCCGCCTGGCGTGCACCCGAGTCCAGATGGCTCGGAGGTTGCTTGCCCTGTCTCGATAATCGAGTGGTTTATGAATTTTTATAATTCTACCAAGAATTGGGAGAAAAGGCCGATCGAGTGTGTTTGTAAGGCAGGGGAAGTGATCTTTGTGCCAAATGGGTGGTGGCATTTGGTTATTAATCTTGAAGATTCTGTGGCCATTACGCAGAACTTCGTTAGCAGGTAAATGGATTCTGTTTCGCTCCTTACGACATAATGCTTTGTGATGATTGGTGATGAATCTTTTTCTTTGTACTGCTGATATGATAAACAGTGTTTTGGTGGTTTTTCGGAATATGATAAATTAAATAACTCATAGAGAGGGAATTAATAAGGTGTGTGAGAATTAAGCAATGCTAGGAAACTAGTTTCTGTGCAAAACTTACTTGACTTTTGCAGTTTGCAGAAGAATTGTAGTTCTTAAACTATTTACTTTTTTTACTGCAGGAGGAATTTATTGAATGTTTTGGATTTTCTAAAGCGGCCTAACGCTAGTACTCTTGTGTCGGGAACAAGAGACAGGGTAAATTTGCACGACAAATTCAAGAATGCGATTATGGCATCTCTGCCCGGGACATTGGATGAGTTGATACACAAAGCAGAGGAGAAAAAGAGACAACAAAAGAAACCTTCTTTCTGGGACTCTGTTACAGATTTGAAGGTGGGTGCTTTCAAATTTTCATTTTAAGGTGTAATGCGTGTAGCGCAAATATGAAAAACGACCAAAAATTTTCCTCTTTTTTTTCTTCCCTTCGATTTCCACCTATTTTGTTAACCATGGGAGAATTTGGGAGAACTGTGAGGTTGGGGCTTCTAGCTCATTTATGAGGAACTAAGAAGACATTCAAATATACTTTTGTCATTTTCCAGCATTATTTAACTATGGCTAATTCAATCCTACTAGTTGGGCATGTACATTTGCTACTGAGTTATTTGAGAGCTGATGACTAGATAAGTATGTTTGAGAGAAATAAATTGCAAAAACTTTTTAAGACATATTAGAATAGACGTAATATTTAAGAAAATGTCAATAATAAACATCCAACCCGTGTTCCTTTCTGGTACATACTTGCCCCATGCCACGTTCATCCGATTCTAATCAAATTTGTCGAAGTCTTGTTCTCGGTTGGATTAATATAGTTGTGTGTGATCTGACTGCTTAGACTCTGTATGGACAATGCCAACATCAGCAGGGTTGATTCTCCCAATTTGGACGAATATGTGTGTGATCTAACTGCTTAGATCTCAGAGTGAACACCACCAACATCAGCAAGGTCAAATTCTCCCGAATATGTACGAATATTTGTGTGATCTGAAGGCTTAGATCTCGGTGTGGATATTGTCAACATCAGCAAGGTCTAATTCTCTCAAATTTGAACGAGTATGTGTGCGATCTGACGATTCAGAATTCTCAGATCTCGGTGTGGACACCACCTCCCTACATCAACAGTCAAGTTCTCCCAAACTTGTACGAATATGTTTGTGATCTGACGGCTTAGATCTCCGTGTGGACACTGCCCACATAAGGAGGATCGAATTCTCCTAAATTTGGACGAATGTTTGTGTGATTTGACGATTTAGATCTCGATGTCGACACTGCCCACATCATCAGAGTCGAGTTCTCCCAAATTTGTACGAATATATGTGTTGATATGACGACTTTGATCCTAGTGTGGACTCTGTCCACATCAGCAAGGTTGAGTTCTCCCAAATTTTTATGAAGATGTGTGATCTACGGCTTAGATCTCGATGTAAACACTGCCCACATCAAGGTCGAATTCTCCCAGTTTGTATGATTTCCAATTTAAGGAAGTTTCACACTAATCAGTAATAATATCATCATTCGTATCGACTTCTGATGCTTCCAATTACTATATATCAACTTCTATTCAAAATACTATGGAGAGAGAGAAAGCGTGTCTGTACCGGGAACGAGTGCATCGTTATATATTGTTCCTAGACGAACCCACGTCAGGTCTTGATTCCACAAGTGCTCTAACGGATAGTTGAAACGCTACATGACATAGCCGGAGTTAAGTACTCAAGGTATTAACCAAAAAAAAAAATAACTCAACTTTTTGATCCAATTACACAACTATTGGTGCTACAGTAATAGATTCGAAAACAGCAAATACTCTTTCATCAGTCACGATAATGACTTCATGTTGGCCGGGGGCTTCTTTGTGAAGATAAAGTCGGAAGCTTTTATGATACTTACTAAAAGATGGTTGTGTTTGCAAATTAGAAGCTACAAACGAGGGGGCATTTGATAAATAAGACGGTAAAAAATAAAACTATTTGCCTCTGAAAAATCAAATTTAGTGTAGAAACCTAAAGCAGCAACCTTCCCCTCCTGTGTGTTTAGTGTTTACAATGTGTTGATCTCTATAATTTACACAGTACAGTGATTCTCTAAGTATGTGTACATCAGTAACAGCACAATGTTCAAAACTGTAAAACTACAATATGTGGTCTTTATAGCAAATATGGTCACATAAGTACCTCGATATGGTTTTATTCACCATTTTAACAGCATTTGATACGATCTTTCGCTGCTCTTCACAATTGTCGTGCAAAAACTATATCTTTTTAGTAAATCTGTTACTGATCTCTCATGCTAAAGTCCTGAACCAACCGAGTAGCCTAAGTAGAGCTGTATCGAGCACCGGGTTTTTCTTCTCATATCCTGGATCGAGTCGAGAAAAAAAATTGAAAAACTGAAAATAAAAATGAGCCCAGTAGAAAATTATACGATAAAAAACAGCTAAATTATTCAAGCAATCACATAATTCGCAAAAAAACATTATTACCTAAATCAGCTGCAACCCGATGCGCGCACATAACTCCCGAGAAAGCCACAGCAATAACGCCTTGGCCCGGAAAACAACTATCTCCCACACAATACAAACCCTTTATACCCTGTAAATTCCATATTAAAAAAAAAAATGTGAACCAGAAAAAATTATAATAAAAATATATTGATTATAACTTACAGTCGTGTTGAACGGCATTGCTAGTAAGCCCTTTGGAGTATTTCTAGGCATTGGACCGTATGTACCGCTATCCCGAGCGAGGTACCGCCTGTGTGTCTTTGGTGTCCCGACCTGCCATATTCGGAAGTCAAAGTCAATTATTTTAAATTCCCAATTGAAACATGGTCAAGTACCAAAGAGAAAAGATTGAAAATATTTTGTTGCAATCTGTTGAACTAAGTCTGACTCTTTCATCTTTTCTTGCATGACTAAAATCAATCTTCACTTATTTTTTGAAATCTCAATGTCGATACTGGAGAAAATCGACATACCTCTTTGAAAACTATAGATGACTTAAGCCCTGGGAATAACTTCTTCTCAAGCCTGTTAATTATTTTATCAGCCACAAATTCCTTCTTTGCTTCATACTCGGCTCGCGAGAGACCCTACCGCAAAAAAAGATACTAAAATAAGAAAAAAATAATAATTCTCCCTCCATTGAAAACCTTAGTAATAATTTATTTACCTCCCAATCCTCGATTGAAGAAACCGTAAAAATATGCAGAATGTGGTGTCCTTCGGGAGCTAACGATTTATCAAGGACCGTTGGGATGCTCAAGAATATACTTCCATAAGGGATTTCTAGATTTTTCCAATCATCCTATATATTCATACGATAAATGACAAGTTAGTTACCCACATAAATTACAGAGCAAATTAACAATAATATCCCCATTTTTATTTTTTACCTCTAGGATAAAATGGTGGCAATCAGTGTCAGGTGGCAAAACATCGGCTTTAACCCCAACGTGTATGGAAAGAAAGGACGGAGCTTTGATATACGCCTTTTGAAATCTTTTTTCTTCCTCGGGCATATCTTCCTTTTTCAAGAGCTTGCCTGTTAGAAAAAGTTTCAGAAAATCAATATACAAGAATCTCAACATAAAGATTACACCGAGGTTTTACTAGAGCTTAACCGAATGTATCCCATCTAGTGGCATTTGAAATTATGGTCTTAGCATAAAATTGCCTTCCGTCTGATAGCTTCACTCCAACCTATAAAATGAAAACACGACAAGTGATAATTCTATTCGCTCGTGCAAAAAAGTAAAATAAAATAAAATGCAAATAAAAACTCACAGCTTTTCCATTTTCTAATATAATTTCAGTTGCATTTGCCTTGTAAAGTATCTCGCTCCCTTGTTTGACCAAACCCTTTGCTAACGACTTTGCGATTTCTCCAACTCCACCAACGGGATAATTAATTCCACCGAAATGTCTATCACACAAAACCTACAAAGAAATAGAAAATCAGAACAAACCGTTCGAAATGAAAATTAGAAAAAAAAAATGAAAATACAGAGAAATATTTACGAGATTACCATGCTTGCGTTGATGATAGGTGTCTGCATGGCATTGATTGTGCTCACTATGAAACACTAAACAGAACAAAAAAAATAGAGAAGTTTGATAAGAAAAGAATACTTTGGTAAATCCACAAATGAAAAGACTAATATTGGTCGAGATGAGTAGAAACATACCTCGGCATCAATATAGGATAGCAATTCGGGATCCTTTATATACTTTCGAGCTATGTTGCCAGCATTTTGAGGAAGATAGTAAGCTGAGATGAATACCAATAAAATCCATGTCAGCACATTAAAAAATATGTACATTTTGGCAAATTTGTAGCACAGGGGATTTACAAATAGTACCGAGACCATCACTAATTTGCAGTCACACATTAAAAAGACATATAGAAAGGATTGTTAATGAAATGAAGGATAGGTTGTGTCTTAATCCAGAAAAAAAAAATATGGAAAATTACCAAGAGTCAAGCACTCGAGGGGCTTCTTGAAAAACTGTCCAAACAGGTAGATCGGTTCCTCCAGAGACTTCAATTCCAGTGAGTTCAATGAATTAAATATCTGAAAAAATACATCATTATGAGGTTAATTAATTAAAAACAGGAAGAAGAAAAACTCGAAAGAGCAAGCAGCATTCACAGTCGAAACAAACCTTCCAGCAGATGCCGTAGAATTTGAGAATGCCTTCTCTCTCGTGAGGAAATCTGCGAACAAGTTCGTAAATGAACTCGTTATATTCTCTGTGCACACGTACAGAAAGGTTATTGGGCAGATGATAATGAACGGTGGTGGGGTCTGGTATGACTTCCATCGTGCATCCAACTGCTGCTAATGATTGAGTAATCAAATTCAAATTTCCCTGTAA